CATTGAAGACCACATGCAAAAATTCAGCTAATTTGGAGCAAGAAAAAAGAAAAGCAACCAAAATTGTCACCTATCCCCTTTTATGACTAGCTTCTTCAAATTATTTTCGTACAGGTTATAACCTTAGATGAAGGTTAAACTAAATATACAATGAACTCACCACTTTAAAACGTTTTTCAAAGTTTTACAGATGTTTCTTCTGAAGTGACTGAATAAAATACCTGAGTAAAATGGTTGGCTAATGCTTGCACTCATGTACTCTTCCACCACGACACAATATGGCCAACTGTTCATGTCCTGGTCTGAAAGTAAAATGCGTGTGCAAGCTCTTATGGGATTTCTGGCCGCTGGCGCTCTTGATTACTCAAAGTTAAAAAAAATCTTGTCTTAAACGTCATTTTTGTGCCTTTTGTTGGAGACTAGTGAAGGTTTTCAGTACACTTGCAAGATTTTGAACAATCCTTAGCTAACACTGTTGTTGATATTAGTTATGTTACACTCGGGTAGAATGCTACAGTTAATTTTGATGGAACGATACACAATCGAAGAAACCAAACAATGCAAACCACTCATAAAAGATTCCATTTTCTTTGTTTTCAGGGAAATGGTGTTGCGTTGAAAGGTTTCATGTTCCTGAGAAATATGTGCAGGCTATTTTGGCGGATATGCCGAATGCTTTTATCGACAGTGCAAGAGAAAAGAAGCATTTTCTCCCCCCTGTGTGGAGAGAAAAAGCTAAAGTGTATCACTACGGGGACTATGAAGTCGATGATGTGATTTCTGCTCTTGGCCAGCAAAGTGCTGAACCTTTAAGTGCACCTAACCCCCAAATTTTTTCGTGAAAACGAATCTAAATGTTATTTGAAATACTTCTGCGAAAAAAATTTTGGATTTGGTTAAATCCTCAATTTTCTGTGCCCCAATGAAATCTCGAAAATAGCCCCAAAACACTGCCATTTGTTTCACGACCGAGTTTGAGGAGAATGGGCCTAGCGGCTGTTGTGACGTCTACCCAGGAAGGTTGAATATCTCACGTCCTCTCATTTCCTTTAGGATGGTGCATTACACATTTGAAAACTGCGCAGAAATGCCTTCCAGAAGTGCTAATGGCTTTTGCAGCAGTATCTCAGATCTAGAACAACATATACTGTACAATTTACTGGTGACGATCCGTCAATGGAACAATAAAGACATAAACGATGGTTGATTTTGTCAAACTGAAACAAGCGAACTGAGTCTGTGAGAAACATTGAAGAACTCTCACTGGAATTTGTTCTGCAGACTTTCAGACGCTATTGTCAAAATTTTCTGCTTAAAGCCAACTAGCAATTTGTTGAAATACTATCGACAACCTATATCTTACAGTCGTGCACTATTTATCACATAGCCGGCAAAGTTGTGTGATCAATCAAGAAGCGTTACGACCAAATATACTAATGTGTAAATAGGTCGCAACTGTATGCCGCCAACCTGCACTTATTTCTCTTTCGATTTAGATAAAAGTTGAAGATTAATCCTTTAGAATTACATGATAACAAAATTGTTACACTGACAGAGTTTTTCAAAGGTTTGGAAATCAGTAGTGCGACAAACATTCTATACATTAGTGTCAAAAATATGACCGCGTAACATCTGCGGACCGCTTAGGGAACACATCCTTTTTGCTTATCCAATGAATTTCACTGCAAACTTTGAAAAAAATCTACCCTGGTTACTTGGAGTTGCAACTTAAAACGTGTGGCAATGTGAAATCGGTAATTGTATGAAATGTTTCCTTCCGCCTTGCTTCCTGTAGCTTCAAAAATACAGGTCCAAACAATTCTATGATTTTCAATTGCTCGAAGCCAGTGTTTTGGAGGTCATCAAGTCTCGAAAACTGCAACACTTATGTCGCTCTTGTATACATGAAGCATTCCAGAAAGTAAAACACAAACTGGGTTTAATAGCACGACCATACCTTGACAAAATACATTCTTGCTAAGGACAAATGTAAACGGGTTATAAACACGCATGGGAGTCTTGTATTTAGGTGATGAAATTACCATCCAAAGCAGTCCTTCAGTTTTCTTTCCTGCTTTTCGTTTGCTGGCTCCT